TCAACTATCTCACCAAATAGTCCACTAAAACGTCTTTCATTTTATATTCTCATTTCCTTTATCCTTTCATTTTCCTCTTTCTCTTCCTATTTTATCACTCTCTCTTCTTTATATGTATCATTGAATTTTTGTTTTGTTTTTTGCAAATTTTCAAATAAATAGATATATGAGAAGATTAGCATGACTCCTTAGCTTAATTTCTACCTAAAAAATACTATGTTTAGTGTGCTTCCTCTATTTAGAGTTAAACTTAATTCTTACGGAAATATCCCTTTATTTAGATCACATTTAACTTCAAATTTTCAATCATGTGAGTCTAATTAGCGTGAGTATGCATGCATTGAGTTTACATAATGCATTTAAATTTATAAATCACATAAGTAAATTGAGTTCTTGTATATGATTCAGGTGCAAAAAAAATTAAATACGTGAAAAATTCTCAAAAAAGTATTCTTTGAAATCAAAGGAATAATTGGGAGTCAGAAGGAATTGTTTGCTTGAAGTTGGTAAGAAATAAGCACAAGTATGAACTAGTGTGTAAAGAGGTGAATTTGAAATTTTTTCTTAAAGTCACACATTGGAGGGATATCACACTTTAGTAGTGCTTATATATAGTAGGTTCTCCTCTTAGGGTGTGCCCCAAGGCGTAAACAATTTGTGAAAAGGTGATTATGCCACCACCTTGGGCTTGGATGATCCATTATTATCTTTTTAGTACCCGACATGGTTAGAAATAATTAATATTAATTAGTTTAATTATTAATGTGATGTCCCTTAACAGTAACCCTAATTGTTGACCAAACCTCATTGCCTTCCATGTTTTCACAATTACCTTGTTGACTAAGAATTCAAACGACTACTTTCCATGATCGTGGAAGAATGGACCAGATTGACTCCTCTCCCCCTTTTTCTCCCATTCAGGTACAAAAAAATTTCCTTTAAATAAGTGCCTTCCCACCTCATATTTTTCACTACAGATTTCTGCATTCTAAAATTTTTCTCCTTTCTCTCATCTTGCTTCATCTCTATAACTTTTTTTGTCTTTTATTTTTTACTGGCCATTGTGTGCCAGATATGACAGGTATTTACCATATATTATTAATGGGATTCTCCGAATATTATAACTAGTACTTATACCATCACCAAGTGATCTTCATGTCATTTGATGGTGTATCACTTGATCGATTATCTACATTGCAAATAGTAATCATATAGTATGGAACTGAGTGGTTTTATCTTGTAGGAGTCGATGTTCTTCTTCTGTCTTGCATAAATTTGGGCAGTTCTGCAAAACATCTTAAAGAGAGCGACCTAGTTTGCAACTCGACCTAATAATTTCTTCAGCGGAAATTTTTATAAAATTGTAAAAAAAAAAAAATTTAAATATGTTTTTAAATTCTATGGCTACCAAAGAAATTATTGGCTCTTCTGTTGCAGCTTTCTCTGACAAAATGTTAAAGTTTTAAGGAATTCACTTCAAATGGTAGCAACAAAAAATGCAATTTTTCTTAAAATTAAAAAGAGATTGCTAATGTTTTGATCGATGACATTCATGTTGTTACTTTTGGATCAACCAAAAAACTAACGGTAAAATATAAGTGGATTTAGATGAAACACTTAATATTGTTGAATTTGAAACCAATTGCACATATTAAAGCAAACTATTTACAGATCAAGAATGAAAACTCCCTATGAAAAGGGAATGACTATCTCTGCAAAACTCACATTCTAAATGGACTATCAAATGATATGTATGATTATTGCAGTAGTTGCGATACTGCATAATAGGGTTGGGAAGCTCTGAAAACAAGTATGATACCAAAGAGACTGGAGTAAAGAAGTATGTTGTTAGTCTCTACTTGAAGTATCACATGGTAGATGAAAGGTCTAGAGAAGATCAATTTTACAAACTTCAAAATATTGTTCACGAGATCATCACTAAAAGAACCATATATGAACAATTTCAAATTGTTGTTATTATTGACTAACTAAGCCCCGGTTGAAGACATTTCAAAAACTTGCTTCTACATAAAACAAAATAATTTTCACTCAAGAGTCTTATTACTCGCCTCCAAATTAAATAAGAATATAGAAGAAAAGATAAAAAAGATGAAGTCTTAGTTGTTTCAAACAACAAAAATAAATTTGGTGTAGTTCTAAAGCCATCTAACAAACCATTAAAGAATCAAAACTGTAGTGATATTGAGCTGAATTAAGAATGAGAGCCCTTATAGGGTCCAAGTTGCATCAATTTCTAGGCAACAATCACCACCTCAAAGAAATGACATAGAAATTTTCTCCTTTGGAAAACTAGGTCATATGGCTAAGAAATGTAATAACAGACTAAAATCTAGTGTTGCCCATAATGCACATATTAACTTGACTGATGAGAAATTTAATGCCATTGATCACTAAAATCAACATGGTTGGTGAATATGATGGTTGATAGACAGACACTAGTGCTTCTCGCCATGTTTGTTATGATCATGCAATGTTCAAAATATACATGAATGTTGATAATAAGAAATTGTTGTTGGGAGATGCCCATACCACGAAATTTGCCGGTATTGGAGACATGGATATGAGTTTCACCTCCAAAAAGACTTTAATCTTGAAGGATGTCATGCATACTGCTGAAACTAGAAAAAATTTTGTTTTTGGTTTTTTTTCTGAATAAGGCATGGTCTAGGCAGTCTATTGGTGTAGATTTGCACACCATCACTAAGAATGATATTTTTGTTGGGCAAGGACACACCATTAATGACATGTTTAAGTTGGATATTGAAATGAATACAATATTTCCTTCTCTTTAGTCTTTGTGTGATTTTAACGTTTGACATGCTAGACCTTTTCGTTTTAATACGCATATAATTTCTAATTTAATTAGCTTAGGTTTAATTCCAAAGTTAAGTATCATTGACTTAGAAAAATGTGAATTTTGTAGTCAAGTTAAAATAACTAAGACTTCACATATATCAAGAATAAGATAATCTCAACCATTCGATCTAACACATTTTGATATATGTGAATTTGATAGAACTTTAACTAGAAATAGTAAATGTTATTTCATCATTTTTATTAACGACTGCTCTGATTATACGTTTGTATACCTAATAAAGAACAAAACTGAAGCACTTGACACATTTGAGACTTATGCGAAGGAAATTAAAAATTAATTTAGTAAGAAGATTAAGAGACTTCGTACTGATATGGGAACTGAGTATGATTCTAATTTGTTTAATGAATTTTATAAACAACTTGGAGTTGCACGTGAAACCACTACACCATTATCTCTTAAAATGAATGGTAAAACAAAAAGAAAGAATAGAACTCTTACAAAACTAATCGTTGCTATTATTTTAAATTCATGCTTTCCATCTCACAGGACACGGAGCTTGGGTGATCCATTATTTTTTATACCTAAAATGGTGAAAATTAATTAATATTAATTAGTTTAACTATTATTGCATTAGCCCTTAATGGTAACCCTTTTTGTTGATCAAATTGGCTTGCCTTTCACGTTTGCCAACCAAGAATTCAAACGGCTAGTTCTCAAGAATTAGGTGTATCCACTCCCCTGCCTTTCATTTTTGTCTATCAAGAATTCAAACAACTAGTTCTCATGATCCGGTAAGCAAACCCACTTTGCCCCTCTCTTTGTCTCCCATTTAGGTTTCGAATATTTTCTATAGATAGATGAATTCCCACCTCGCATTCTTCACTCCAGATTTCCGCATTCCAAAATCTTTCTCCTCTCGTCTTTGCTTCATCTCTATAATTTTATTTTCTGTTCTTATCTTTTACTGCTTGCTTTGCACCATATACGATTGATATTTATTAGATAGTAGGCTGGTACTTGTACCATCATCGACTAGTCTTTATGCAATTAGATGGTGTATTTTTAAACCGATTATTTTACCTACAAGTAGTAATCCTATATTACTTTACTTGTATTTGCACAATTTTAAATTGTGTCGTAGAACGTCTTAAAGAGATCGATATAACTTGTGACTCGATCGAGTAATTTCTTCGATGACAAATTTTTTTTAAACCATAAAATAACATGCACTTATACATGTAGTAGAATTTTAATGGTAGATCTTGAGCTTTAATTTAAAAAATTTCATCAAGTTTGTTCACTCCAATAAATATTTTTAAGAAAAAAATAGTATTATCACGTACAAATTTTTTTTTTATCGTAAAATAAATACAAGACTAAAAGACAACAAACATAATTTCAAATAACAATAATCTATTTAGTAAAATATGATTGCTAAAATCGTATCACATTGTTCAATTGAGATTTGTAAAAATTAATAAGAGTAAGAACTAGAAATAAAAAAAAAAATACTATAAAATTTATCAAATTAATAAAGGTTTAAAAACTATTTCTATTATAATAAAATATTAATAAAACTTTGGATGTAAATTAGTATTTTAGAGAATAACTATAGAAAAGTCAAATACTTTTACTTTAATTTGATTCCACTGGAATCAAAACACCCCTAGCATTGTAGTTCATAAGCATTAGAAAGTGTATTTTCAGAAACATTGCATATCTATTTCATCTTAGAGATGATTTTTGGCAAAAATAGGTCAAGAACATAAGCACTTAAATAAGAAGAAAACAAAATGTAGCAACATTTTCTCCCTCTAATTAACCAACATAAAAAGTACTTAATATCTCAACTCAATAATGTCATTGATGAATTGATGATGTTACACAGTATTACTACTACTACTACTATATAGTCCACATATATAGCATGAAAATCCCAAGTAAATGGGCTACCAAGTTGCATGCATAAAAAAAAAACATGTTCATCATGTTTCTCTAATAACCTCTCCCTAGCTAGGATTAATACATAAGTACTCAATGATTCTTCCTTAACAAAACAAAAAACAGTTCCACTTCATGATAACTCATGATTACTAATTAAACTATATTTACAAAAAAGATCATAAATTATAAAACCATAGAGAGAGAGTACATATATGGATCAGTTATTGAGGAACATGGAAGGGACAATATCTTGAAGTAAGCCATATTGATCAGGAACAAGTTGTTGTTGTTGTTGTTGATACTGATGAAGAAGAGAGTTGCTAACATTGTTGTTGTGTGAAAAAATGGAAGCAGCAACAGAAGCAGAATTAGTACTACTCGGTTGAGAAGTGATATTGAAGGTGTTGTTATGATGGTGGTGCATATGGAGAAGAAAATCTTGAGGGAAGTTTGATCCATATGAAAAAGGGGTAGGTGCAGATAGCAAAGAAGGTGTGAACATTGCAGCCGCATTGCCTCTAAGAGAAGTGGGGACAGGATGATTATGCTGACCTTCGTATGTTGTTATCACAGTTGTTGGGTCTTCATATGATCTTTCTACGCGTTTTTTCACTGTACACTTCTGTGTTGTACACCTATAATAGCTCCTGAAAATTTTCCCATTTTTCATCCTTAATTATAATTAATCATAAATATTTTATAACTAGCCATTGTTTTCATGTGATCTAGAATAGACCCTAGCTAAGAGTTGGTTAATTTGAACATGGTTTTCCATTTGACTTTCCTTTCATTTTCTTTTGTTTATACTTTGAATAATTATTATAATATCTCTATGAGGAACATGGTGTGTAAATTAATATGTAGATTTGAATATTTCAAAATTTAATCAAACTATAACATATTAACATATTAACATATTAACATCTACATCAAGCAGATCTATAGGACTAGTATAGGTGAGTGAGTGTTGATGAAGTTTTATGTGAAGTGAAACTATTGATTGACTTTGTTAATAGTGTTTGGAATTTTTGGATCTATCTATCTTCCATTGAATGTAAAGAAAGAAGAAAATGAAAGAAAAAAAAGGGTTTATAGTTTACCTAGGGTATGGACTATTCTTAACAGCTTTTTGTCCATATTTTCTCCATCTATATCCATCTTCTAGTTGATCAACTTCACTCTTTGTCATGAAAGCAAACCTTGGTTCCTTCTGTTTCTTCTCTCCTTTCTTCTTATCAACCTTGTTGTTCCTATATAGTTTATTCCAAAAGAAACAGATATAGTTAGTAATGGTTGTTGCACCAGGGTTTCATGTTAAGAAGAAGGGTGAAAAACAAAAACAAAAACTTACCCATTTTTAGTGTTGTCTTGTCCTTGTTCTTCTTTAACAACTAGTCCATTTTTCTTTCTTTTTCCTGAATCTTCTTCTGCTACACCGGCTTCAGAAGATGAGGAGTTAGAGACAGATGAGTTAGCAAGGGTTTGATCAGGACCTACTTCAGGTTTCTGTTGATTTCCTTGATCAACAGATGAAAAAACCTCTGATGAAGAAGGAGATAGTACTCCAAAAGAGTTAGCAAGTGATGAATTGTAGTGATCCATGTTAGTTCCTTGTAAACAATCAGTGAAACTCATGTTATAAGATGATGGATCATAGCAATTAGGTTGTGAAGATGAAGAGTCATATAAATTAGGAAAGGTAGATAATTGTTTTTCACAATACATGTTGTTAGATCCTTGATCTTGATCTGTTGTTAGATGATCTAGCATGAAGTTTTGGAAGTAGGGTTGTTTAGGTTCATCAGACATGAAGAACAAGAAGAAGAAGAAAGAGAAAGGAGAGAGAAGAAAAAGAGAGAATGAGTGTGTACTAGTGAGGTTTGGTTGAGACTTATCTCATGAAGTTATTGTTATATATAAGAATAAAAAAAGAAAAAGAAAAAATAAGAAAGTCTTTGGGTTTGAACAGAAAATTGCTATGGTCACTTTTAAAAAGTAGGTTGACAAAATAACCTCCAATGAAAAGAGTAGAAAGTGCATGCTTTCTCATTTGGAAACATTTTTAGACCATCTTACTTCCATTAAGGAGACTAATCAATATTAGTTAAGGAGATAGGGAGATTAATGTCACTTTGCCCTTCTAGCATGACCTATAAATACATTCATTTTTATTCATTGATTTTAGAGGATTTTGGAGGAAAAAATTTTGAAAATTTGTTTTTTATATTTTAAAATGTTTGATATTTTCAAAAATAATATGATTGAATATGTTAATATAATATATTACTTTTTAAATTTTAAAAAAAATATCAAATACATCTTAAAATATAGACATTACTCTCCAAACAAATTCTTTTTAAAGTCCTCTAAAAATTAACTTGATCGTAAAAACATCTTAAATTTTTACATATTATATATAAATTTAACTATATTTATATATTTAGCCACGGTTGAAAATTATAGAAAATTACTTGTGTAATTATCTTTAACTGCTGTTTAATCGTGAAAATTTTAAAATATAAAATAAGATAAAATAGTGCTGCTACAAAAATAATGTTATATAAGTTAATTATAATAAATAAATAAATAAAAATACTAGCTACAAATAGTATTTTTCATCAACAAATTTATTAAATAATGAGCTCCTTAAAATATGGTGTTTTGCTATATATGTATTAGGTTTATATACATATTCTATAGAAATATTGTTTGATAAATGAATTTTTAAAAATGTACTTTAGTGTAATCTTAGTTAATATTTGGAAGAATCTTGATTTAACCTTTTGAAACACAAAAAGTTGACAAACAATTAAATTGATCAAATTCTCTATAAAAAGTTCTTGTGATTCAGTCCAAATTGGAGTCTTCTAAATATTGATTCTTTCCAGCAAAACCAAAATGGAAAAAAGAAAACGTTTTTGTGTTCTCTTGGTTTGTCGAAAGCATGTATACCACAGAACATGAAACCAATAGTTTTAAGTAAAAAGAAAAAGGTAAAATCTTGGTTTTTATTTCCAATCTTGGGGGTTGAATAAATAGAAAAATACTAAGTCAAATAAAGTGTGGTTGACTCTGCTCTATTATTTTTTTTACCTAGTCTCAAAATTTTCAAATAATTATTTATTTATAAGGGAACACAATTGATGGGTTTGAGCTAATATTCTATTTTCGGTAGATGCTGTTTTTGTTCTTTATCATTTGTCCAAGTAATATCTTCTTTTTATCACTAAAATTTGTACTATTAGAGATATAAAAGTTAGTTATACATTAATCACATTGTAGCTAAAATTAGTTGTTTTTATTGATTATATCTCTTCATGTATTTTCATTATTAATATGATTTATATTTGATAAATTATTTAATTTATTTAAGTTTTATTGGGTAACAATAATTTAAGACAAAATTCATTCAAAATTTATTTATTCTACAGTGTATAAACTAGCATGAGTCTTATATTGACCTAAAAATAAGAATAAAATAATTTTGCAACTTCATAAACTACTCTTAAATTGGAATCAAATATATTATATTGAGTGGAAAAAAGTTGAATGTAAATTTTAAGGTAAGTTTTTTTTTTTAATTTTTTAATTTTTTTGTTATATGTGACTTACATCTAAATTTGTAATATATTATGGGAGCTTTTTTTATAAGCTAAGATACGAGTATATGGGATACTTGGAACGCTCCAAAATTTCAATTAATTATTTAATTAATTTTTATTTATTTATTTATTTTTGAGTATCGGTGAATTTTATGATTTATTTAGTTTTATTTAATTATTAATGTGTTTGGATACTTTTGTGAGATTTATAGAGTGGTGAGATTATTTAGAACTTTAGTTAATTTTAAAAGATTAAAAAAAAAAAAAAGGAAATTTATGAGATTTTAGGAGAAATTAGGATTATTGAAAAAAAAAGGGAATGAGGTGAAAATAAGAATAAGTTGGGGGAAGAGTGAAATTATTAAAAATTAGGTTAATATTAATAAGGAGGATTAGTGGAGCTTTAGAATCATCCGTACTTGGAATTGAAGAAAATTAGGAGAAAGAGCAAATTGTGAGAAGAGGCAAAACAAGGGTTTGAGAGAGAAGAAATCATAACCAACATTTGCTCTTGTAGGAAATTAAGGTAACAGGGTATTACTCGAATATTGGTGTCAAATGCATGAAGGGTAGAGGGGGATCCTCACCCTCCTCTAGGTTTTTTCCACTTTTTTCACAGTTGTTGATGTTTATGTGTTGTTGAGAGAAATCTGTGAAAAATCTATTATAATTATTGTGGGATATATAAAATTTGAATTCTATTTTATACTGAAAGTTATACATGATGTGGTTATGTGAATCTGAATATTATTGCTATGGTTGATGTATTTTGGTATTACATAACCTAAAATTCATGATAAAGTGATGGATTATGTGTTATCAGTGAATATAAGATGTATTAATCATTGTATAATATGTATATATTATTTTCTACTTGATTTTGGTGGTTGGGGTCAAAATCAGAGCTTTGATAGGGCTCCAACGATGAATTTGGACTATAGAGGCAGTGTTAATCGGTTGCTAGCAGTTGGTAACCGGTTACCTATAAGAAAAATGGATTTCTAGGATGTATTTCATACCAGTAGTAGGTTACACACCGAACGTAACCGATTACCACTAAACGTGTCAGAAATTGTAGAATTAAAAATGACGTAACTTAAGTTTTGTGACTCTGATTGAGGTGTGGTTTGAAGTGTTGGTTATGATGAATTATGTTGTGTACGACTGATATTTTACGGTTGTTTATTTTCGTGAGTTAACTTTGAGGTGATATACTTCTTGGCCATGTACACGGTCAGAAGTGGGGTCAATTGTGGATGAATCTTATTCATGTCGTTGTTAAGCTCATGCATCATGGTGTACGGACTTTGATCCGGTGGTGAGCTCTGGTTCAGAAGTGAGGATCGAGAGCGCGTGGCTGATTTCAATAATGGGATCAGTGAAGTGTTATTGATTCAGTAGTAGGGATCAGTGGCGATTATGGTTAGCTTTGGTTCAAAAGAGAGGACCGAGAGTGAGTATGGACGAAGATCAGTAACATATATCTAATGTCCAAATCGGTACTGTATGCATGTAGAGTTGAGTAGTGGGTAAATTCGCATACATACCTACATGTATGATTGAGTAATCATTATAATTATTTTCTTGTTGTGAATAAGTGTGTGATTGATGATTAAGATGAATATGTTACCTTTGTTATGTTTTGCATCATTAATATATTTGAGTGTATTCTCTCTCCAATTTACTTGTTATGGTGGCTTTACGCCTATGTTTGCAGATACTTGAGTAGGGACTGAGGAGCCTTAGATGCTATCGTGTGGAAGATGGCTTGTGCCTTCTTCGTTTATTGCCTTCTGCATTTTGTTTAGTACTTAGTGTCACTCTGATAGTGTAACTCTGGGATGGGGTCATTTTTTATTTAATTTCTTTTATTGTTGAGTTATTATTGAACTAATTGTTTTATTTTTATTCTGGACTGGACTAGCACTTTCCCCACAGCTGGGCAAGGCCTAATCTAGTCTAGCTTAAGGCCAGACCCAATATGGCCATAGAGCACAATATAGTCGTTGGGCACAATATAGTCGTTGGGCACAATATAGTCGTTGAGCACAATATAGCTGTTGGGGACGTGCCCCTCAAGCGATTGACAGTTTACGCGACCAACTGCCCCTCTGAAAGTCACGGAGACAGTTAGACCAGGTCAAAGATCACGTGCTAGATCTTTCACCTGGCAGTCCCCGATTAGCCAACCAGATATTTCGGTTACATAGGAGACCTTGGCCCCGCGCTAGGGGGAAAACTTATAAACACCCTCTCTCTTGAGAGGGTCAGGATTCTAATCATTCTTGCTCATACCTAAACACTCGTACTTGTTTCTTTTTTTAGCCCAAACACTTACTTTGTCATTGGAGTACCTTGCAGGTAAAACCCCCTCCTTTCATACAACCACTGTTGCTGCCCTATATTGAAGGCCAAGATGATCAATTTTGATCACTCCATATCAATGGCGCTGTCTATGAAAAGGCCAGTTCCCTCGTCTTTTTGAACCAAGATTTCCCAATCTTCCCAAACAAAAGACCAAAGCTACCTCTATGAACCTTCATTATCATGGCCTTCCACCGTAATGACATCTAGCAAGATTCCTTCATCGCCGCTCTGGGTTGTGACGAAACCCCCATTCCTGGAGCTGCCACCGAAGAAATTGATCACAGGAACAGAAAACCAGCATCTCCTGACAACGTGAAGCCTCGTGTCCAAAGTTCTGACCATGTATACGAACCTATCACCATTCCACAAGATGCTGACCCTTGCACAGCGGCCCTCATCGCCGCCCTCAATAAATCCAACTATTTGCTCTTCCAACAAGAAGAAAAAATCCACATGCTGGAAAACACCATCGGAGAACGACCTCCCACGTGGAGATCCCTCATCCCATCTCACCGGTCACATTCCCCTCTTCAGAAGCATCGCCGAGAAGAATCTAGAAGCATCTCCCCTATCAAAGAATAGTCCAAACTAGAGAAGCATGGACATGAGACCATTCGAAAGTGCGATCGTACCCCTCCTTGGAAATCCAGGCACTCCCCCGTATCCAAAAAGACCAGGCCTTCTGGAAAGCCTTGCGAAGATCACCGAAGCCGACATGCACATTCTCCTTGACGCATCAGGAGTCGGGGACGCAGTTATTTGTTCAGCAGGTCGCCCAACATGAGCGAAGAAGACAACGCAAGCGATCCCCTACCACAGGAAATCATAGACACCCACATT